GGTGCGCGCCGCCGCGCCGCGGCAGGCTGCGGAAGGCCATGCAGAGGCCGTCTTCGCTCGCCTGGCCTAGGACCTCGGACTCGGGGGCCGTGTGGCTGCGCCCGGAGCCAAAATGAAACCGAAGCCGATGGGCCATGGTGACCAGGGGGGCCGGGAGGGCGAGGGCGAGAGAAGTCCGACGCCGAAGGCACCGGCTCCAAGAAAAAGTGTCCCATCTGCCAAACCGTCGGCACTGCGGCACCGGGCGCGACAGATAGCAGAAATAGCCCCAGTGGCCAGCGGCATTCCAGGCATGATTGGATGAGAGCAAACCGCTCTCATCCGCGCTGGGCAGGGGGTAGGGTGGCCAGGACCACATGACCGCGCGCTCCCCCTCCAATGCCAGCTTGCGGCCTCAGCGGCGTGTCCCCCCTCGCGCCCTCATTTTTTTCCAACAGCGAGAGCCTGAAACAGCACCTTCCCAGCTGCTGCTTTTCCATCAGGAAGGAGCGGCCCCAGCGGGGAGCTCTCACAGCTGACGAGGGCAGCGAACGCTGCAAGCCACGCCGCGAGCCATCCGAACCACATCACGTTCGCAGGACCTTCCCCCCCCACGCGAGCAGAGCTGGCACTCTCTCCAGCCAGGGCGAGGGACCTGGCACTGGCCACACGCACACGCTCCTTCTCCCACCTCGCCACCACACGGAGTAATGACAAGCAAAACACGCCTTGGCTGCCGGGCAAACCCGGCCCCAAGCATCCGGTGCCATGTTTCTGTTATTTATGACATCACTGCCCGACCATGACGGAATGCAAACTCCTCAACCGTACGATAAATGCGATTACACAGCCCGGAGAATCAGTGTCCCTTGAGACCATGATCTACAAGGAACGAAACAGCTAAGTGGGGACGCGGAGGGCCACAACTTACTGCACAGCCAGCTGCCTGTGAGACCACCTCCTGCTACCAAAGCATTTTTCACTTCAAAGGTGTATGCGTGTGTCGGTCACATATGACTGTTAGGAAGTACCAGAGAAAAGAAACCCAGCTGGGGAAAACATTCTCTTTCACGTGCCAAGCAGGAAAGAAAACCACCACACACACACACACACACACACACACACCCACACAAACGGGCAGGAAAATGGAAGGGTGTGCATATGGTTTCTGTAATGATTTATAATAATTTAACTTAAATACCATGCAGAAAAATGCTGCCTGGAGCTGACCGTTTTCCAGCAAGAAGTCAGCAACGCGACCCTAGTTGGGATACAAATGTGGATCCCTGCTGTTGGCACGAAGCCATAAAAGACCCAAGAAATAAAAGTGTGCATTCAAAAACCTGCCATCGGATTTATACTTAACTAGGAAATAATTCTGTGTGTTTTAAACTATTCTCTATGATCCAGAAACATCAGTTATTTATCACAGAGGTTTATTTAGAAGGGAGTTAAAAAAAAAAAAAATAAACGAGAGGAAAATACCCAAGCTGCAAAGAGTGACAAAAAGTTTATTTTAAAATCTGCAAAGCATGACTTCGTCAGCAGCTCTGGAATCCACAGTGCAGGATTAACCCTGTGTTGACATACGTCTAAACCTGTTTTCTAAAAGCACGTGTTTGAAACACCAAAAAATAAACTCTAGGAGGGTAATGGAAGCTATGTTGCTTTAATGCTGAAACTTCCAAGTCCTACCATAGTCATGTATGGTCTTTGCTGGATTAACAGCTAACAAAGAAGAAACCAGCAGCAGTCACATTCTTTACATAGCAACAGCACTGTACACAGCTGGGGGCAAAGCTAGGTATCAGTGTTATAAAACACCATTTTCAGTTACAGTTTGTATTCGCACCGGATTTTAAAGAAGCTCTGCATTCAAAGCCCATTTCGGTTTGAAAGTAGAGTCTGGACCCTTGGCCAGGTCCTCTCAACTACAGTCATTACTTCAGATATGAATTGCTCTTAAGAAAATTAAATAATGAACTGAAACACATTACACGAAAGAGTCAACTTTTCCTCAAATGTGACTCTTTCTTCACCTTAAAGAAGGGTTATTATACTCAATAAATCAAAGAATAGGCGTCGTCTATGGATGTGTCCAAGTCTCCAGGAACTTACTACTGTATTACTGAATCCTGCCTGATTCATAGTCTTTACTGCATAAGAGATGGAGAGACCAGAACTGCATTCTCCACAGACGCTCTCATTCCATCTAAAAAGAAAATAACTTCATGCAAACAACAAACATGACTTATTAATAGTTATTCCATAACTACTAATTATCACCCAAGCAACAAAAAATGTCAAGTTCAATGCAAAGCCACCAAGATCTCATATTTTTAATAGAATAGATATTAGGATGGTAGGCCAGAATCTATTCGTTCTTTTATTTTGGAGAAGACTGCCAAGCCTGTGAGATGAAATACATTCCCAAATTCTATCATAAGAATGACAGACCTAGCTGTTAACCCCCAGTGGACTGAGACCAGCGGTTGGACCCGGGCACTTCCATGTCAAAACTATATAAAGGCTCTAAACCAGGGTTCTCTCATCTCTAAGGACAGAGAGTTAAATGAGTTGCTGTATAAGGCTTGCCCAGATCAGATAGTCTCTTAACCTGAAGCCACTAAAAAATCTGGAGTTTCAACTGAATTCCAAGGAAGGAAGTGTTCATAAAAACACTCCTTTTAACTCATCAAAATACCTAAGTTCCAGGGAAGGTAAATCTAAGTAAAGCCGACTGCACAGAGTTATAATACTACTTTGGAGGGTTCTTTCAGGACTTAACGCCATAATGTTCATTTGCATAGCTGACCACCTGGTTCACAGGTATTTGATGTATATGTTCTATCTAAGAAAGCCAAATATGCTTCTAAAATTCCATTTCATGAATTAGATATTAGTTACATCAGTAATGTATATATCAACCTTTGTAAACATATATATTAATCTGTATACAACAATGTAAGTTTATATCAGTTATATGCCTCAGATATACCTTTGGTTTTTTTAAAGGTGCTTTCTAAGGCTCTCCCTTGAGAAAGAAACCAGTTTTAGAATACAGCTTAATTTTACCTGCTCAGTGTAGGTTCATCTTTTTGCTACCTACTGTTAATTAGATTTTTATGTCCCTTGAAAGAGTCACCATAGATTGGCTGTTGAATACATCACAGTATTGTAGTCTGGCCCATATTTAAAAACCCGGCAAAGTCTGTTTACATGCCTGATGACCTCTTCACGGATTTGCCTATAATTCTGTATTTCCAACACTAGAGCATAAGCATACGGATGATATTATCACCAGTGACTTTCATTAACAGCGATAAAAATGCACACATACACAAATACATTTTCTATCCTAGCAACACGACAGCATTTGTTAGAATTATGAACACCACACTGGTATTGGGACAAAAATAGTCTTCTCTTGGGGCATATATACTGTCATAAGTACAGCATAAATACTGAGTTTTAAAGATACCACTCTTAAAAACTCAGCTTATAAAAAATGAAGTGAAATTAAAATACAGGTATTCACTTACCAGTCTGTTTTCATCAAATACTTCAAACAGGAGTCTGTGATTAGATGGGTTTACCTATAAGGGAGATAAATACTATTTTAAAAGTAGATAGGAATCATTTGAACAATGAAATAAAAAACAGAATGAAATACTGCTTTATAGCGTATCCAACTCAATTGTATAATATGAACAATTAACCTACTCTTTGGGAAGTTCTATGTCTACTAAGTCAAATTTTCGGCTATTGATTTCTATATTTTTCTGCCTCTAATTTAGACATATTAAAAGAAGAAAAGGCTCTTAGCTGGTTTTCTAAAATAAGAAGTGACAATTCTAAATAGCTTCAAAGAGTTCTTGCTTTCCTTTACAAGAAGGTATTATCATGCCCGTAGACCAAAAGGTCTATGCCTGAGGAAATCTCTTAGGTCTAATAATACTAAAAGTAATGACAAAAATAATCAAGACAAGAGTAATAGCAGCTGTTTACAACTAACTGTGTGCCTTCTTAGGCACTGTCTTTATTGTTAAATATCAATGATACAAGATCTCATTTAATACTCACAGCAATCCTATGATGTGTAACTAACACCCCAATTTTACAAATGAGGAACCCAGACCCTGAGGGTGACGTGGCTTACCCAAGAGCCACAGCTAGCTTGTAGGGGAACCGGGAGCTGTATGAGGTATGGCTTGCCTGCCTGCAGTGCCTAGGCTGGGACTCATGAGAGAAACCCAGAAATAAAAGATGTCCCCAAGGCCAGCAATGTGGGGTCAATGTCAGAGCTTCGGGGCTTTCCGTGTCTTTTTGCTTTTCTTTCCTTCCCTTTACCAAAACCTCACCAAAACGGCCTGTATCATCTTTCAGACTCTGGTATCATTTGCTAAGCACCAGCCACATGCGTGACACGGTTCTCATTTGCAACATCACATGTAAATCCTTACAACCACCCTACCAAGTAAGGACTTTTCTCTCCCATGTGAGCGATAAGGAACCCAGGGAGACTTGGAGTCCTCAGGGGGCTTTTATGGGTCACAAGGGCTGTAAATGGGAAAGCCAGAGAGGCAACCCAGGTTTCCTGAGACTAGGCCAGGGCTGCTCCATGACCGAGAGCTTGACCTGTGCTTCTTGCTGTTCGGACAGCCTACAGCCAAACGACAGAGCAAGCAGACGGGCTGCAGGCTTGCTGTCTGTGTACAAGTACTGGGAAGGGTTGCGCTGCTGTCCGATGAATGCACCCACAGGCCACAGGCAGGAACTGGCGCACGGTAGGCACTCAGTAAAGATTTGTGCAATGAATTAACCCAAAGACTTTAAAAAAACACAACAGCAAGAACAATAAAAATAGAACTTCGATATGCCTATAGCCAAGATTAGTTGAAAAAAGTTTTGGATGTACTAAACTTGGCATAACTGTGGCCAAAATATTCAACGGAAAGGAGTGTCAATAATTTGGAGTTTCACTAGGCAAAAGCTACAATTGAGAGCCAAGTAAGGGCTGACAGCACCTATCAGCACCCATTAACTTTCCAGTCCTCCGGGGGTAATTAAAATACGTCTGGGGAAGGTCGTGCATAGGACCTCACCAGGTATTAAAATGTCAGTGCCACATTTCAGCCCTGAACATAATAGAAAACAGATGCCGAACACAGTAGTCTAAGTTTGGAGCACAAAAAAATTATATCGTGGTTGAAAAAAAGAAATCAGGATCAGTTATAATGGCTATGATGGCAATAATGTTCTCTGGGAATCAGCACTAATCGAAAGACCTAGTATGCAGCATCTCTGGATGCAATCAGTTTTTAAGATCATAGTTATATAATAAAAATACCTTCATTTTGAAGAGAAAGCCCCTTTTTTGCAATTAAAGCTGGGCAGGTTAATAATTCCAAAGTTTCAGTAACAAAACCCAGCAACAACCACAACGTTTCATTAAATAGAAATCTCTAAGGCACAGAATTCAGTCACTTCCACAGCTATTAAATATTAAATTAAAAGGTTGGGGAAATTTTATGGAATTCAGTTGTATTTAGATTCCAGAAGTAATTTTATATGACACACACATATATATGCACTAAATATCTGAATTACAAACATTTTCCTTCTAACTGGAACACAATTGGAAATTTCATGCTTCTTTTTAGTCATGTTGCCTTTATGTTTTACTCTAAAATAATTCATAACTCACGTCTCATAGCATTAATTAACCCATCATTTTAAATTATGTTTTATCTTTTAAAGTTTAAATGGAAAAGACAGAATATGGTATTTGGATAACTTTGTTTTTGTTTCCCCAAAACATTCCCAGATAAAACAAGTCCAGATTTTTTATGACCACTACTCATAGTCTTTCAAAATTTGAGGCACATTAGGAGGCTATCTAACCATTTTCATCCTAAAAGGAATTTCAAAACAAATCTATTGTGACAGTATATTGATCTAGATATCAATAAGAACTATTACCGCCCACCCAAAAAACTGAAAAACTTACTCTAAAATAAAATTCTTCATTCCATTTCGGGTTCAGCGTCTGGAAGAAAAATTATCTTGTAATATCTTTTACAGTCATTGAATCATTAACAGTTTCTAGTACAATATAGTCTACATATTTGCTTAAACATTTTTCTTGATTAAAAAAAAGCTGAGAGATTTTCAAACTGGCAAGAAAAGAAGCATTTGATAAAGTATTTGAGATGATCCTATAAACCAAACCAGAGGGGGAGGGAGTATATTTATGAAAGGTGGTTCCTAGACATGAAACCATAAATTGCACGCTATCACCAGAAGGCAAAACATCAGGGACATACAGAGGGTTGTCGTGAAAATAGTCAAATTTCCTACAAGAAACGTGCATTGATATGATCAGTCTATCGAGAAGGAAATGTACTTTTGTTGGCTTCCACTATTCGCTGCAAATCTGTTTTGGAGAACCAAGAAGTAGGTGGGAAAGGCTGAACGTATTCGCGATGTATATAAGTATTGACATCCGAAAAACATTTTACAGAGAATAATACCGAGGCTCAGATCCTATAAGGAAAAAGATGCCAGTTACAAACCGAGAGTCCCCTCCCCCCAAATAACGAGGCTAAAAACATTTGTCTGCTTATCCTTCGACACTCCCCATTCAACCATCCATTCATCTCTCTCTCGGTCTGTGGCAAGACACATCTTGGAAGAACATGGAAGCACACGTCTGTCCCCAGCATGGAGGAGGGACAGACTGCTCAAGGAGGCTTCAAAACTCAGACGAGGCGTGCCTTCTCGACCCACGTTGGTGCACCTGCGCGCACACAGCGCTCTTAAACCCGCCCGGCTCGTGAGATGATCACGCCAAAACCTGAGGCCGAAAGACCACCGCCTCACTCACAGCTGTAGGGACCTTTCAGCCCAAAGGCACTTCGCCCTCATCCATCTGTGTCCTGCAAACACACCAGCTCGGGGAGCAGCAGAAAGACAAACCCCAACCGAAAACATCAACACGGCGCAGCACAAAACACTCGAGGCCCGGGACGCGCACGACACCGCGCGGGCATCCGGAAACCAGGGACCCGGGACGCTGGGGCTTCCCGCTCGGCGACCGGCCGGCAGGAGCCGGGGCCCGGCTGGA